AATGCTTCGGGAATTGAAGCTTCAGTGCTTTTGTCTGTCCCCCGTGGTTTATGGCTATAGCTTTATCAGTATTTGCATTTCTCTGCCAATTTTTAGAATATCCAATGAGCTGTGATAGGAAATACATTCATTAACAGATAATGGAAAGTTGCCATTTTTGTTACTCAGCATGCATTTCCATTTCCTCTTGCTAAATAGACTCTGAATTTCACTCAAATGTCACTTCTCATCTGTGCAGACCTGTATCTTTGGGGAAGCACATCCAACCTAGAAGTCTAAGAAAAGGCCCTGGTTGATTTAAAGCAGTCAACACATCTCAACTTCCTGGCCACAGTGGTTCTTTGTATGGACACATGACCCAAACTGGGCCAAGGAGATATGAGGAGATGTTTTCTGCGCAATTGTAAGAGAGACTAGATGATATAAATATGTGAAGTTTTGCAACTTGTAAAAGAATTCTGAACTCCAAGAGGGAAGTTATTAAACATGGAGTGGGTAGAGCTGAGAGAACTACAGACAAATTAAGTCTCCATGGTGATGTTCCTGGGAACCTGTAGATGAAGGGCTGCTTTGGTTTGGGGGATTTTGATAGGAGCAAACAGAAGCACCCTAACAGACACAGAGGCTCAAACCCATCCAAGCAGTGCAGTGACAAAACTTTGGATAATGTTTACTTTTTATTAAATCAACTCATTTTTTCCTCCCACGTCCTCCTCTGAACACTCATTCCTTGTTTCATTCACAAGTATTTCCCAGGTAAGTATCAATAGTATTTTTCATTTCTCCACAACTTTTCTTCAAATTATTTCCTCTACTGGAGGGGCCCTTTGTTGTTTTTTCATTACTCAGTAAATACTTATCTGCTTTTCAATCCCTGTCTTTCATCTAGGATTGATTGTTGCATCATCAGTTGTATATTAAATCTTAGTAACACACCTATGGTAGCACTTACCTTTGTATATTACGTTATTTATGTGTCTAGCCTTCTTGGATTTTTTTGAGACCATAATTTAGTTTATGATCCCTAAACTCAAGGGAGTGACTAGTTAGTAAATTATGAACAAATGAATGTCCTTACTTCTTAATTCTCAAAAAGCAAGTTATTGGCTTTACCACAGTAGCTTCATAATTATGAAGTAATTTTTACTTTTGACCTCAGTGTTCAATAAAAATTTTGACTCATTCCCCATCCATAAATCCGGTTTTGATCTTCTTTTTATGAGACACAGCACTTTTTCATTGGCACGTTATATGTTAAATACATTTTATAAAGGAAAGAGACTCCCAAAGAAATTTAATGTTAAAAAAAAAAGTGCAAGTATTTTCTCTGCATGCACGAGCATCTCAAGATTTTAATTGCTTTTTGCCTTAGGAACGTTGTGATGTATAAACATTTTACAAATCTGATCTCAAAAAAAAACAATGTTTTGAATAATCTGTGCTTTAATGTAAAAACAAAACATTAATTTGTTCAGTTTCTCACACAATGCGTTTATTAAACAATTCGGTCTCAATAATTTCTTAAGATTGTAACATTTAACCTTGTAATGGAGCTAAAACCAGTTCTATTCGTGGGAGTATATTTTTGACTTTTGAAGAAAAGTAAAATTAATGCCACTGTCTTTAGGTTGTGTTTGGAGCAAAGACAAAGAAACCAACTAATTCTGTCCAACTAATAAAACATCTAATGATGCAATTTCTACTATGACATTATCTTAATGTTATTATCATAGTGTTAAATATATTTTTGCTTCTGTTTGTTACTGAAGCTCAATATATCATCCCTGAACATTAGCTATTTTCACTTAATTTAGATTTTAAATATTGAATTTTTAACTTGGGTTCCAGAAAAAAGTCCTGAAAAATATCTGCATTTAGCTTTTATTTTTCTTGCTCTCAACTACAAATTTTCAATGTGGCATGACTTATCAGGGAATCTGTATCAGGAAGTACAGCTGTTTAACATACCTTTTCAGAAATTAAAAATAGCCACCTCTGCATCAAAGAGGGGATTCAGAATCATTAGCATTCTGAAGGAGCATGTGTTTTGATTATTGTTCCCACCTGTTTCTTTTTTATTACAAAGTGGCAATTTATACTATCATTAGAAATATACATTTATATATAAAGTTTTGCCTTCAAATCTCCTTAATCTTTGATTACCGAGGACTAAAGACCACAAATCAAATAAAAACCCTATATAATATATCCTATTTCAGAAGCATATGTATATATACACATATATATTTGTAGAACAATCCACTGTTTTCAATGTGACTCTGATTTTTAAAAATGCTATTTACAATTTTATGACAGAGAAATAATCTCAGCTTTTTATGATATTAAAATGAGCAGGGGATTTGTATGCTTGAATGTGTTTCACCTGGTGCAGATGAAGTTGCACAACATCATGGAAAACCTTCTCAGAGCACAGCCTTATAGACAAAGCCATGAAGGCAGAATAGTAGATTTGCTATTTCTGGGTCCATGTTTTAAAACAATTACTGTTGATGTAGTCATGCTTCTCCGCCAGGGAATTAGTGGTCCCAAATTAGGACCTTCAAACTTTTCAATACACAAAGAGACAGTCTTCATACTTTACTTTTGTCTTAATACCCTCACGTCTTACTTGTGGCACCACGGGACCACCAACCTATATACAATACCTATCAATGGCACTGTCATTTTCTTAAAAAGAACAATTCTTTTAAAAGCTATCTGGATTAGAATGAGGCCCATAAAGCATCATTTGCAACAAATTGATGTCTTTTTATTGTGCTGATCCATAATGACTAAAAATGTGGTATGAAGTTCATATGTAAAATTCAAAGCCCAAACTATTACTGTGATCAAGAATAGGTTGGCTTGCTGTCCTCCAGTTTCCTGAAGCACAAAATCTCTGAATTAGCAAATGGAACTTCAGCACCATTTTGTTTCTATACCTCTGACTTCTAGCTTAAACATCAAGTAAGGTATATTGACCAGAAAATTATTTTGTGAGATTCTCAGTTTTGTTTTCATTCTTAAGTCCACTGATTTTGAAACATGTTACAATAAGCACTCTTAGAATAAACATATTTTACCTTATATTTACATAGCCAATTACAAAGCTTTACTAAAAGTCATAATTTTCCTCAGACTATCCCAATGCATTTAAGAAAAACAGGCTTTTTTACTTATAGGAGAATAAGTGATGGGTGAATTGAGACCCAGAAATTGGAATGATGAAAATCAAAGTTAAGAATTATTTTACTTGGAGTAAACCTGAAAAAACTCTGAAAAACAAACTATTTAAACTGGCTTATATTTTTGGAGGAAATAGGATAATTATATGTGTGTATATGGTAATATATTAAAAGCTTAGACAGTAAATACTGACTTTTTCTATGAAAGGTTTTATGTACTTAAAAAATAAGCAGCAGTTAGGCAAATGTTCACTCTGTGTTCTAAACCATAGTTTTTGTCAGGTTAATGTGTAAAAAAATACGAGGTTTCCAATTTATTCTCTGACAGTAAGTTTCCAAAACATTTTATTGTGGTGAACATTCGCTTAAGTGATATGGAGAAAAACAATATACAAATTGGGTAGTTAGAAATGTTTCTTCAGTGTTATCACGAAGGAGACAGATGTGAGTCTAGATGCTAAAAAATGAACAACCATTGAAAAAAAAGGGAAGAATTTTGTTGGAAATTCATTTCTCTACCATATTTTCCATAATATTTAACTAGATAAGATATATTGTCATGAAATCATCAGTATAATTGATAACACTTTGAGAAACTGTCAATTGTGTTACTTGTGAGCTTGTGATGCCTATGTATATGTGTGTGTATATATGACCGAAAAGCACAAATCATTTTATGTTACATGAGCCTGTGACCCATTTTGTAGAAGCTTCTTTTTTATTTTTTCAAAGAAAATAAGGCTTTGTGCTTGGGATTTGTTTGGTCCTGGAAGTGACAGGTGCATTTATAATCAAGTTGAATCAAGAGTGACAAGGAGAAATACAAACAGATTTGTATTTCTTTTGACAAGGGCATTCTTTTCCTAAAAGAGTAACATTCCTTTTTTCTCTTTAATTTAAATGTGTGTATTTGTTACTTTCCAAGTATTTTGGTTAAACAAATATCTCTTGAAAATGTGTGTTCAAAATCCTTGCCTAGATGCATAACTTTTATTCTTTGCAACCAGTTAGACAAATTCCTCCATTTCATTTTCTGCTAACCTCCTGATAACAGAAACAGAATACTTGGTGAAGGACACGGACCACTATTGAAGAATAATGATTGTGTAGAGTGAGGGAAACTACAGTGACTTTGAAAGAATACAGCAACCAATGGCAAGGTCATTGAAGTGAGGGCCTAGAGTTTCTGCAAAGTGTATATATTTTAGGGAGTATTTGGAACAATACATGCTGGATGGTAGAGCTATAAGAGAAGTAACATGCTAAGTCTTCTCATAGATAATATCCATAAATCTACATATATTTTTTTAACATTCTCTTTAGTTTTGTTTTGATTTGGATGTCTCTACACCATTCCTGATTTGTAGGACTAAGTAGATCTATTTTTTTCCAAGGCAATTGTATAACATTCAATTCTTCCCTAACATTTTTCTAACACTTTAGTATTCCTAAATATGCTTTTGCCTAGTCTTACACCGAGGTATTTTTTTTTTGGGGGGGGGGGGGGGGGGGGTCTACTTTAAGCCGCTCACACAACCCTGTCTGTTGGAGCCATGGCTGTTAATTCCGTATTATTTCTCTATACCCCTTGAAAATTCAGCACATTACAAGTTTCCTTCTATGCTCTAGGAGACAGACTGATTTTCAACTAGATTTATAAATGAGGATATACAGTAACAAACAATTCACTGGCTTCATAAGATAGTAAGTAAGTTAGGAATTTCACAGCCATGCCTCCCAATTCCTTGGTGAAGTTTGGAAAATGCTACATACAGAAAACTCTGGTAAGGTACAAAGACAAATACAATTTGCTTTCACCAATTTCTTAGGATTTATTTCTTTATATAAAACCCCTCTTCCTTCTTTCCTGCTGCAAGAGATGGTATAAAGCTCTCTAAGACAGCTAGACATGCACCTATACTCTCAAAGGTGTCCACAAAGTAAAAAATCAGACCAAAATGGTATGAGCACATAACTTATTTATCACTGCCTGGGCATGGCAATGGCAAAGAATTCCTAAAAGTTACATCAGCCTTAAAACCTGAAATTTTTTTCTAAATAGCTAAACAAAAAAAATGAGCCCCTGAATTAATACCTTTGAAAAAAATATGATATTCTCCTAGGAGAATCTGAAACTCTTTTCGGGAAGGAATGAAATCAGCTAATAGCATTAAATTCAACATAAGGCTATCCTTTGCATGAAACAATCTTAAATATCAATTTCAAGAATAAAATTTTAAACTTTTTTGATGTTAAATGATTTCTGGCTATATACCTTATAGGCAATAGAAGAATCTATAATTCATACATGTTCAATATCATGGTAAAAAAAAAAAATCCTGAAAACAGAACGTAACTATGTGTCAATTCCAGATGTCCAAAGAAAATACAAATTCAAAACAAAACACACACCAGAGAATTATCCAGAGTTTAAGGTATTTAGGGTATTACATCGATTTGTAAGTTCAATTTTCCAAAACCCTTTTCTTTAAGGTAATAATTTTATTTCATCTTTATGATAGTTATGTCTTCATTACAATTAGCCCTCTATTAATAACAACACAGTTTATTTTAATGCTTGTGGAGTCTTGATTTATTTTTTCCTCTGCTTTTAGGTGTGCTAATCTTTGTGCATGTGCATTTTTCTACCACATTGCAACAGGCAAGCTTTGGTTCGATTTTCTTATCCTACACAAAGAAAGATTTTGAGTGCAGAATCTTAGCCACTGGGTCTTGGGTTGCCATTTTATTTTCCTCTCCTTGGGTGGATTTATTGGAAGGAAACGGGTAAAGGGCAAGGGGAGAAAAGGAAGGGATGAGAGAGGGACGAAGGGAAGAGTTCTCAGCTATGTTGAATCTTGATTCACAACTTTGCCTCCATTCATGGTTGGTGTTCCGGAACTTTTCCTCGAGCGCCCCTGTTTTTCTCCAATCTCATGTAGTGATGGCTCTCTGTACATACACACTGGAAGGCAAAAATCACATTAATTACTCTTTACAATAGTGGACATAAATTTGGCCTCAATAAACAGCTCAATTTTGACTTCATAATATTGTTCACTCTCATCACTAGCTCTTCTTCCTATGTGAAAATGAGTTTTAACTTAAAACATTTAATGGATACACATAATTCTAGTTCCATCAGTCACAACCTTTTAAGTCTTCCCGAATGGCAGACACATGGGTAGTTTCTGTTCCTGTATAGATAAGGCTTAAGTTTTTACTATCTACTAACCTATATAATAGGATTTTCATCTAGGGTTAGAGGAGACATTGGGAGTATAACATTTAAAGGGTAGAAAGAGATACTTTGTTTTTTAGCCTTTAGCCTGAAATCTTGGGAAAAAAATTCTTATTTACATGATCCTAATCTTTACCCTACTGCAAGAAATATGACATTGTTTTATCAAATTGAAATATTTATTGCCAACTTTCACGGTATTCATCGATAGTTATTCATCAGTAGGAAATGTGATTATGCAACAGTGAGATTTCAGTTCACATCTATATAAACACTTCCTTTTATCTCTATTGTTTTGTCTGGCTCTAAAGCTCAGTCATCTGTGAATTATCGTGGCTCTTGCTAGATTATTGCATAGAAAGAAAAATGTTTTTCAATTCACAAAGATAAGATAGGATCTATTAGCGTACTGAGTCCATTAAAAGAGATTCATTTTACTGTTGTGAGACAAATGTGACTGTATATGAGTATATGAAATATTTACTTAAATATCGGGAGGTATTTTTATCCTTGACTTAGGAACAAATAGTTGCGTACTCCCATCTATTGAACAAACACTACAATACCTTGGTGATCTGAATGTTATTTCCAATCAAATTGCTTCCACTGATGGGCTTTGCCCTGGAACTGGAGACCCGAGCATTGCCATGAATAAAACAGATGTTGCATGGTGGTTAAGAGCACCAATTTGGGAGCCACACTGCCTGGTCTACATCCTTAGCCACTTTCTAGCTCTGTCTAATGGACACACAGTAAGCATCCAAAGATGTATAAGAAGAATGAATGAGCTGATCTCTTCATGAACATTTTGAATAAAAGATTTCAGAGAACATACTGATAAATTGTTTTGGTTGAAGGTATATTCTAAATCCAAAACTAGATTAAGAGAGTTAAGATACAAGTAAGATTCTCCTCAGACTAGTTCAGTGATGAAGAGATAGGTCTCTTCCAACATCTCAGTAGTAGGGCTCCTTAAATGTCCATGTGCATCTGAATCACCTAGGGGTACTGTTAAAATGAAGACTCTGATTCAGAAGGTCTACAGTGGGCTTGAGATTCTGCATTTTTAATAAGTGCCCAGGTGATGCTGATGCTGGCAAAACCTTAACCACACTGTGGCCAGTACAAAAAATATATATAAAGCATGTTTGTTAAGTATATTGTGCACGATTTTATATATATATATATATATATATATATATATATTTTTTTTTTTTTTTTTT